GGATCAGCAACATTTTGTCAACCTCGGCCAGAGCTTTGCAGCACAGCTCCTTGCCGCAAATCTCCCTCTCCTCCCAGACATGCACACTCCACACCAGAAAGCTCAAGCTTCCTGCCCTTTCCCTCACTATACATATGTGGTCCTCTGCAGCAAGGAGTGCTGTGGAGGGGATGAGAGGCTCAGCGCAGCCCTGTACTGTCTGATTTTCTGGGTCAGAATACATGGGGGAGAAGGAGAGGATGCAACTAGGCTAGCAGACCCCTTTGTAGGGCACAAAAAAGCGGTTTCACAGTGGCAGCTGATTGAAATGCCAAAATCAGCATGGCACTGCCCTGGTTGCCATATAGTTGTGCCGCTGTTCCTGTGCTTGGCCATATCCAGCTCAGAGGCCATGGGTTGCCAATCCCTGTTTTAAAGTCTTCTGCAACTGATATAGTGCAGCTTACACTTTTGTCTGAAACTCTATGTCTAGGCATTAGGAGTGTGTGAAACAGGCCATATTCAATTTGGATTCAGCCCAAATCAGGGACAGTGATTCAATTTGTTGATTTAGATCACTGTCCCTGATTTTATTCAGCCGAATCTGTATCTGAGGATTCAATGTTGATTCCGAGAATCAGCAATTCGGCTATAGACGTAGCTTTAAATGTTTTTTATACATACCTCAAGGTACCAGGCATGGCTTATGAACACTGAGATGCTGGGGCAGATGAAGCGTCCCACAGGAGCACAGGGGTGCCACCCACATGCTCGGCGGTGAACCCGGAAGTGGACCAGAAGTATTTTTGGTCCATTTCCCAGTCTGCTGGGGAGTGCGTGGGGGGGGGAGGGGGCTCTGCACCCCTCAGCTCAGTGATTGGGGGATCCCAGGTGCCCCCCCCCAGAACCAGGAGGCACCAGTTGCCAAGCCCAGAGGCATGTCAAGGGGGCCCCATATGCTCCCTGGCGAACCCAGAAGTGGACTGGAAGTGCTTCTGGTCCACTTCCAGGTCTGATGTTGAGTGTGCTGGGGACCCCCCCCGGCCGCACTCCTGTGGGACACTCCATCCACCCCACCATTGCAGCATTCACAAGCCACCTGGTACCTTTCGGTATGTAGAAAAGACATTTAAAGCTGCATCTATGTCTGAATCTCTGAATTGATTCAGAGGGTTCCAATTTGATTCGGAGAGGTTAAAGAGTCCTCTGATTTGATTCAGATTTGGAGATTCAGCCACCAAACTGAGCCGAATCTCCGCTGAATCGAATCAGGGACTGAAGCTGCACACAGCCTTACTAAATATTGTATATTCAAATGCTGTTAATGTGATGGTTATATAAACAAACTCAATACAACATATTTTTCACATCAATAGCTCTTTTGATCACGGGACTTGTGCTAATCATAAATGTGTCTAACTTGAGTCACATAAATTGTTGAACTTTTCAGTTTAAAAGATATGGATATAATATATTCTCTTGAAATGGCTTTAGAGGAGTTCACAAAAATGAAAACGTTATGTAATGCATTCAGAATTGACCGTAGTGTTACAATTATGGCTGAGCCCTGATTAATTGAAGATGAAATGCATTCATCTAACTGTGAATCTTATTTTAAATGTATTCCAGATGTGTAGAGGTTATTGCTAAAGAAGGACGGAACCTGAAAGAGCTATATTTGGTATCCTGTAAGATCACTGATTATGGTATGTAGTACAGCTTTTTTCCTCCCACCTTTTATCAAGATTGATTTCTTGTAGTTTTACTTGAGATTTTTGTAAAGCTATTGGAAATATTTAGGTATGGATTTTACTCCATAAAATTGCTAAACTAATGTATAAACGTACTTTCAATATGCATATAATTATTTGTGCCTGCAAGTTTCAAAGTTGATATACAAGCCTGCATGTAAATCATGCTTATTTGATTTAACAGACAGAGATGGGATTGGAGTATATGATAATTGTACCTTTGGAATGATCATGGAGAACACAAGGCAACTTACCCAAAAAAACCTGTGTTTTAAAATGAATTTAGCACATAACTAAGCAATTATGACTGTAGATTTTTTTAATTGCTTAATGTAGGATGTAAAACGTGGAATGTATCCTATGTTACTTAAAAAAAAAAAAAAATTGCTGTGCAATAATAGAAACCATGACAATTTAGGAGTATCAGGAGCAACAGAACTAGGCTTTGAAAAACTACAGATTAATTCTTTAGATGGATTAGGTTGCAAAAACTGTAGGCTTCTATGGCAAGAGTTTGAGTGATGATAGATCAAATGGTATTGTTTAAAACAATCAAATAGTAAGGAAACCCACTGACTCAAACTAGAGCTGGGTTTGGAATTTAGGCTCAGATCCAGAAAGTAAGGCAAGATCCAAATCGTTCTTTTAGGCACCTATTGAGAGTTGGGCAGAATTTTGACATCACAAAACGAGATCCAGTATAAACCTGCTGCAAAGTTGCAAAACTACAGAGCTGCTTAGATTCATTGCCCTACATTTTGACTGAAAAAATCCTTAGTCTTCTCATCTTGTAATAATAGTTTTGTAATAATCCGGATCAAGATGTGTAAGTCCTACCTAGGCAACTTTGTAATGCATGTCAGTGTTGTGAGGCGCTTGAACTGTGCCTGAAGGGAGACTCTTAGAAAAAACAACTTACATGTGGCCTGAAAATCCTATTTAGGTATCTAAACCCATTGATATCAATGAGATTTCCCGTTCATTTCCCCACAGCTTTTAGGATTAGTCCTAAGGTACCTGATTAGGATTCTTTCCACTTCCTTCTTTCTTTATTCCATGGCTTTAAGATAAAGAATATCAAGGTTGGTATTCTTTTTAATAAACATAAACGGGTCCCTTTTTCCAGTCTTGCACTGCTTTGCTTATCTGAAAGTTGAATACAAAGATTATTCTTGGCCTAGCAGTGGGACAAGACCTTGCAGCACATCACTGAGAAATAGAGGCTTGGTGCAAAGAAGTAGTGGGAGATTTGGGAGAGGAATTCTCTTTGGGTTGTAAAATGACAATGGAGATTCTGAATTGTTAGGACAGCAGTTTTACATTTCAATAACCTCTTCTCAGTTTGAAACTCCTCTACCCCTTAACGCAGTAACCAGGGAGTTACTTGGATGGTTAGATAAGCATCCTTAATTGTCAAAATTGAATTGTTCCATCTAATAGTTTATAAAGATTGTGAATCACTAGTTTAAATTGTACTGTGATAAATTAGCATCATAGATGTAGCTGATCTAATAATCACTGGGGCTTTTCAGATAACTTTTGGTGGTGCTTCTAACTGTCATGTTGCTCTTAAGTGGCTTGTCCTATTATAGAGAATGTCAGTGGAATGCATAGTATAGAAACTGTTGCTGGTAAAAGGCTGTTTCTCTTGCAAGGTGTTGTTACAAATGGGTGTCAACAGTATTCATATATTAATATTAGATTAATATTCACTCATACATACATTGGTAAAATCAGTGCATGAATACTATGGCTTATCTAGCCTTGGAAATTGCACAAAACTTTACTATTTTGAAGTTAAACATTCACATTTTATTCATCTACACGTGCACTTTACTGCAGTTTACTCATTAGCTCCACAGTAAAGCATCACCAGTTACATGTGTGCTGGTTTTAGGTGCAGTAAATTAATTAACTCTGCTGTAAGATAGAACGGTTGGGGACAGTACTATCTTATGGCAGAGTCATTTACTGTGCAGAAACAAATGTGTAGGCGGTGACTGGGACTGCAGCAGTTCGAGCCAGGGTGGAGTAGCCCTGGGCTGGCAGTAGGTTCATGGGGTTAGTCACATAGCTCTGCAGTTTCGGCCCTCTCGGCCCCCATGTAGCCCCTCTGCTGCCCAATGCTGCCGCCCAGAGGTTGGGGCTAACCCCCCGCCAAGCCTGCTGCCAGCCTGGGTCTGCCCCACCCTGACTCAAACTGCTCAAAAGTCACAGGCACATGTGCAGACGCTGCACCAAGGAGTAGCTGACTCTGGCACAAATTGTGCTGGAGTTTATCACATCACCTTAGTGGCATGTGTAGATACACCCACTGAGACTATGAACATTTCAGCCAAGTATTCTTGATGTGATAGTGAGTTCAATGAAATTGTGTCCATTGGTGGCAGAAATGTAGTTGTTTATTAGTTCGAACTGCCAAAACTGGGAATTGCATTAGTAAGTAAAACAGCATGATTTTACCAGAACAATTTGTTCTAAACATACCTTTAATTTGAGACACCAGGAAAGAATTAAGATATCAGCACTAATTGTAATTGTTGACCCATAACTAATACTGAATAGAGGGATGCATGGGTAAAATAATTACACATACTCTAAGAAATCATATCATGAAATGTGAAATTAAACAGTTTGTATGTTCCTAATTAGTTTTGTCAGTAAGATTCTGTGAGAAAATAAAATATGTAATCCTGAAAATGTATACTGTATTGCAAAAGATTACTAAAAATGGTGCACTGAAAGGTTCCCTTCCTACTGAAATCCAGAAGACTAATAAAATCCTCTAAAGCATAACAATACAGTCATAGGCAACATTAGTTTCCCTGGCATGCTGCCACCATGGAATTTAATTTGGTGGAAGACTGCACAGAATGATGAGTTTAAAAAATATAATGTAGCGGAGGGCATCTGACTCTCTTGGGCTGTATTTGGACACCAACAAATCTCTAACGCTGTTTTAGTAGATTTTCTGTTCTCACTATAGTCACGCAGGAATTTTTTATGTTTAATTATATTAGACAAAAAGAAAAACAAAAAAGGAAACCAAGGTGGAATTGAAATAGGCAGCAGATGCTAAGAGTTGTTAACTATATAAAAAAAGAAAAGAAATATAGTACTGCTTATTACACTGCTAGAGTTAAGTCTGTGTCAGCACTTTTGTTATAAACTTCTCAGGGGTATATAACTGCTGTAGAAATCTTTTCACCCTTAAAACTTGCCAAATCAAGTCTTAAATCTTGGAATAAATGTTTAACTGCCTGTGTATATATGTTGTGGATATGTATGTATGTACATGACCAAATACATTTTTTTCAAAGTTTAGGATGAATGTATCCAGCTCTGAATAACTGAAAAATAACATAAAAACTTGTTTTTTTAACACAGAAACATATATGCATTTTTAAAAGACACAGTCACTGTTTCTGTTGTTTAATTTTACTTTAAATAAGATATTTGAGCTTTAATTTTTTACCCTTAACTTTAAGAAAGGGCTTCATTTAGGAAGTTTTGGGAGGCTTTATGTTTAGTTTTGAAATGCTCATGAAAGTTGAAATGTTTATATTTAAAATGTTTCTGCTATTAAATGTATGAAACTCTGTAAATGTTTACTTGCTTCATAATGTTTTTATCTTTACATAAATGTTGTATGACTTACCATAATGCAAGTCAGTAGGATGGTAAACTAAACTAAAAGGTTTCTTTCATTCTAATTTATTTTAGTTAACTGATAAGTGTTTTAAACAACTGCCTATGCATTACTGTGAAACAAAGTTAATACAGAATCTACAATATTTGTGAATGAAGTATTTTTATGGTAAGCACTTGTTTACCCAAGACCATAGATAGCATGGTCAGGGCTGACTCTATTTCCATATACCATTTTGTCCTTTTGTTAAACAATAGTGAATTAAGCATGGAGTGTTAGCGTATCTTTGAATTTCCTGCCTTTTGTTGATTTGTGTCACAACCTTAACATTATTTAAACATAGACGGTTTTTGTATTTAATCTTTTAGTAAGAACTAGTAAGGAAGTTGGATTTTCTCAGCTGTGGGGAGACTGTGTGTCAAATGAATTAGGTTGATGTGAAGATGTATAGCTGTGAGAGGGGACAGCAATCACACACAGAATTGTGTAACTGTCTCTTCAATTTTCCGCTCTAATTCTGGGGTTTATTGATTTCCTGAGTGTTGGGAATTTGTTTGTAAGGAATACTTCCATGAGTAAAGTATTACTTATAAAGTTAGTGATGGTGCATAGCATTTCACCCAGTGAAACACAAAGGTGCGGTTTATGTTCAGAGATTAAAAGTTTTGGTGAAACTAGCCAGTGAATGGTTATGGAATGGCGCTGGACAGTTTAAGGATATGATCTTACAGCCACGCTTTCCAGGCATTTACTAAGAATTACTAAAGAAGCTCAACTTTCTCAGCTGCCTGGAAAGATCAAAGCCTCTATACACTTCTTTTCCACTTGCAAAAAGTAGTGAAACCTAATATTTTGGACTCCTTATGGAGAAAAGAATTTGAAATAAATATTTAAATTATAGGTTACAACTAAGAGCAGCAGTTAAAAGAAAGAGGTACCTGGGAACTGAGGTTTGATAAGAAATACTCAAACTAGGATCTATAACAAATCTAGCATGGATTGCCATAGGAACCTGTTTATTAGCATTTAAAAATTACAACATCCAAATGATTATAAAAGTGCAACAAACACAATTTAGAGGAATGGATACTTCTCCTTATCACTCGTGTCGGCTTATTGTCACCTATCCTGTATCCTAGATAAGACACCAGTGTTCTGGTGGCATTTGGATTTTCTAATACTTTGGACTTCACGGAAAAAAATGAATTCCCCACTTCTAGCAGTTGCACAGGGCTCCTCTAACACAATGTTTGGCTTTCTTGATCTTGCAATATTATGAAGAAGAATTTGAAGAACTCTATATTTC